AAATTGTAAGTAGATTGTGAATCAGGTAGGCCTACAATCTCCTCGATCATATTATTATGTTTTGATCTATCAACTGACATGCATATAAAAAAACTATTCAGAAAGAAAGATTATTTTTTTAATTTAATTTATTAAAAATATTATTTTATTCAGAAAAATAAATGTTACAAGGCGTTTTCCAGTCCTTGTAACATTTATTTCTCTTCAGAAAACTTAAACCAAGGAAACATAAACAAATCGTTCGCAACGTACCAGAAATGAAATGAGAACTACATAGCCTGTCATGTTCTGTCGGCGTCCAATTTTTTCTATTGATCACTGCAAGCCATTTAGCTCTTCTTTCTTTGTCCTTTGGTATACGATAAAAATGTAACTCTGGAGAAAAGTCTTCTCGCTTATGACAACCTTCTGCAACACACACTTTTCCCATCTTTGACTAAAGTTCATTCACCGCGGGTTGATTGTTGTTATTTTTCATTTGAAAACCTACTACGGCCATATGCTAGCTTGACGGCCAAGATGGCGGCATAACTTTTCTGTGACGTCACGCGCAGAAGGTCTATATAGCGTAGTGGCGCCATCTATCGGACAAAAAAGTGGTTTTTAAACCTGGGGTTGTCAACTAGGAATTGGCCCTATATTAGCCCTGTATATTTTATATCAAGTTGCATGGCCTGTGTGCCTACTGTAATTTTAAATATCTAAATATCTCGTCATCTACACGCCATCGAGCGTTATTGTAACATCTATGTGATCTAGAGGAATTACCTTTATTGATTTAAAGTCTATTTTCTGCTAGTTGTGGAAATTTATGGTAAATTTATAGCGTCATATATAATTTGTATAGGAACGTACATGTATAACCTCTCAGGCCTATAGGGCGTAAACTAGCTTTAAACGCATCGTTAGCATCAATATGCATATAATATTTACCTATTTAACGTCGACCTATTTCTGTCGTATTAACGATACTTGTCTTTCCATTCGTGATTGTAAATCTCGGTTTTGTTTTTGTTTCTATTAGTTTAACTCTGGTCACTGGAGCTCACAACCTCACTGATCGAGTGTATCACAAGGGAAATAAATTAAGTAACAACCAGAACACTTGTCATTCTCATTTACTACTCCCAACGTGAACTATGCTACGGTCACTACAACCCCTGGCGAACCTCACGGTCCGCTACAAAAGTTTTACTTTTAGAGAGTGTACCGTCTGTTTCTCATAACTCGCCATACTTTAGCCCGGGTGTGCATCCGGGTAGGCGGATACTCTTCACCTCTTCATATGTGCTGCCCTCCAGCAGCAACTGTTTCTAGCGGCTAACCCCATTCGTATCGTTATGCAGTAATCCTATGGGCGCCAGTGACACGATCGTGTTGTTTTCACCGGCGTTCTTCTGGTGGTCACGTGACTAAGTACTGATCTGTGACGTGGCTCCGCCCTCACCTGCACCCGGCAGTTAGATGCGATATGATATGACTACTAGGCACTTAGGATATGACTACTAGGCACTTAGGATATGACTACTAGGCACTTAAAAAAAAACAACCTAACCCTAACATCCTAACACCCTTGAACATCGCTCGTTCTGTGACCAGTGCATACCATCCTCAGTGCAATGGGTTTGATGAGAGGACCAACCAGTCTATGAAGGTCCGTCTGGCAAAGCTAGTGAATGAGAAGCAGGACGACTGGGACCTATTCTTAGATGACGTGGCCTTCTCATTGAGATCTCAGGTCCAAGCCTCAACAAAGTTCTCCCCATTTTTTTTAATGTTTGGACGACACCCAAGAACCCCCATGGAGGTAATGCACTGTAACATTTGTTTTGCACATGTTATATTGCATTAGTAATTGTAGACAGTTTTAGTTGTAAATAGGAGAAGGGTTGGGCGTTTAGAATATAGATTATAAATAGTTAGGTTGTGGGAATTAGGCAGTTAGCAGTTGGATTACAAGCGATAAGTAGCGCAGTGTACATATGCTGGACATATGGACCTTTGCGCGCAATACGACGAATGGGAGTGGTGCGTGATTGGTTGTGCCGAGTAGAGCTAGTTTGTGATTGGACGAGAGAGCCATATATATAGGAAGACCGGAATTTGAACGGGGTTGGAACTGGGAGACGAGACTATGACAGGGAGCGACGTAGAGACGGTTGTATATTGTAAACAATATATTTATTTAGTGAACACAAAACTATACTTCTTCTTGATTCTTTTAAATATAAATTATTACAATATAAACGCGTGTTTACATTTTGGTGCTCGTGACAGACGTACTACTGGGTTTTGCAAAACACGTAAGGTACCACGTTCTACTATATCGATCTACGGACTATACGCAAGGAAGATGGAGAAGGAAGAACAACGGAGAGCGAGACGCGGGAGAGAGAACGGTGGATCAAGGAAGATGGAGAAGGAAGAACGACGGAGAGCGATCGACAGAGACGAAGAATGGCGGTGAGTGAGACGGGGGGAACAGAAAGCGAGACGCGGGAGAGAGAACGGTGGATATGCACACGGCGTGAACTATGTGAGTAAGTCAACGTGAAGGAAGGAACGGCTGGTGTTGCACCCATTAAACTGCAAGGGCAAGTCGAGTCTCGGCCTATGTGAGAGAGAGAGAGGGGAGAGCAGAACGGAGAAGGCAAGGTTGACAAAGCAGAGACAGAGGACGTGAAAGTGTGACATCGTCAGGAATGTGTATTTTTTATCTGTTTTTTTCTTTGTTTTATGTACGCGGTATAATTTTTTTCATAGTAGACGCTTGTGACCGTGACGGTCTTTGTGTGGGAAATCTTTTGCGTAAAACTTTATGTAGAAATTTGTGATCGTTTTCTAAAAGGTGTCGTAACGGTACGTTTACACTATATTGTCAGACTGCTAAACACATTCTTCCATTAGAGTTTGATATATGCCTAAAACATTTCATCGAAAATATGAAATCAGTTTTGCGTATTTTTGTTGGCTGTATGATGTGTGGAAGTGACAAAGGTTCTAAGTACCACATCGGTGCTGTGTGTATTAATGCCCCTGTGTGCGTTAATGGGATTATGAGGATATAATCAGACTCCTGATATAACGGAGCACATGGCTGAAAACGTGGTTTCGGTAATGCGTGTCGGTACACGCATACGCCACGTACGTTACAGCATAAAAAGACGCAAGCGTGAAAGTAATGGCCGAGGTATCAAAATGTTCACTGCCAAATGTGTTGAGTTTCTGACCTGTATTGTGATCAAACTTTATCGTTACTTGTTTTGTATAGGAAGCCTTATGCTTCATATGTGTTTTCTTATTGTATTTTAATTGTTGTAATGTTTGTGTATTGATTGTGGGTTGTTTAATCGGAATGAAAAACGTTTCACTCGTTGGGTTGAGTTAGGAAAGTATTAGGGTAGTAATTATGTTGGAATTGTTTAGGTTTAGGTTAAAGTGTAGATCAGCGGGGTAGTCATCGTTTTGGGGAAAGGGGAGATAATCTAACATCTGTTTTGCACGTGTTACATAAATTTGTCAGCGAGGCTAGACTAGGGGTTGTTGTAGTAATAGTCTGGGAAGACAGACTGCGTCGCGCATCTTTATGCGGCTACAGTGATGTATTAGGGAGAATTGTAAACGTGTTTAGGTTGGAAGTTTCTAGGGTGATTGTGGGTTTTGTTTCTTTTCGTGCGATGTGTCTATATTGTATGAGTTATTAAAGATTATTCCGGTTACAACACAAGTTTGGCTTTATATCATCATTCCTATTTACAGCACAGCGTGACAAAAGTGTGTACACTGGTGCGATGTATTAAATTAGCTATTGCATATTTTAGATACCACGGAAATGCGAGTCTTTCTCATCTTGCTTACATTTAGAATTTAACCATCTATCCATTTATCATACCAGCTATTGCTCTCATGAATGCATGTTCAGTCAACAAACCAATAACTTTGCCATCAGTGTTTCTTTACCCACTCCACTCATTTTTGCCCAAAGTTAATTGGTAAAGCCAAAACACATTCCCAAAACTTTTTTTTCTTTCCTAAATTAAATATGTAAATATACTTGTATATGCATCCAGAAATTCATCCATTCAGCCGGTTTAGAAAACTCTGGCATATACTCTGCTGACGTTTGTTCTGCTCATGTGCTAATTGATCAGATGGATGCCGCTGAGGAGAATCCGAATGTGTTTGTGCCATCTAAAGAAGATATTTCAACTGCTGTGGCTAACAGAGAGTACAATATGAAGCTAATTAAAAAAAGGTTAAATTGAATTCATTGTATAATGATAGGTAAAGCAAAGAAGTTGACGCGATATGTAATGGACTATTTTTAGCGTGTTTTAATCAAGCAAGAGTCCTATTCGCGAGCGTTTGAAATGACCTTTTACCCGATGGAAAATAGATGTGGGCTAGCTGCATCGGGTATGCAGATAGTGCCAACGTAGCACTGATCGGCTAATTGTAAAACCAGTCATAGCTAACAGGTTCATTTATTGTTATGCGGTAAAGTTTTTCAATCAAACTAGTTCTTTTTATGAAATGTTTAAAGGCCATACATTTTGTTGTTGCAAGTGATGTATAATTTATGTCGACTTATCTGTCATATAAAAAGTGTGCTTAATGTCTTAAAGGTGGAGAGCAACAGCACAAAAGCATGCGACAGTCAGAAACAGATATATGCGGCCAGGAAGTTAAAGGGCGTGAAATCCTTCTCTTCCAAGAAAGGGGACCACGTGTTGAGAAAGAATATGAGAAATCAGGGGCGAAAAAATGGAAAGATGGAGGCGATTTGGAGTGGTCCCTTCGAGTAAGGATCCTAAACATTTCTACATAATAACAAGAGCAGATAAAGAAGGAGAGCGTACAACGGTAAAATGCTGAAACCATGTTGCAGTATTAGTCGAATTAATAAACTTTTCCCGTTTTATTTTGACGATCCTTTGCAGTATTATTGATCAGCTGTCTTACCTTGTTCATATAAAACAAACCGCATGTCCCTACTATGCCCCTACGCTGAGATAATGAGTGGTGAAAATCTGGTATTTTCGCCGAAAACCGACTCGAGATCAGTTAATACTGCGGCCCTCTCTCGAAGTGTTGGCCAGTGTGTTGCTTCCGGTCGCCGCTAGTGGCGCTGACTCATTACGTCATTACTACGGAATTTACTACAAGCAGACTGAGGTGGGGGTCATCACTATGGCAATCAATAACAACACGTCATGGAGTAATGGCCGCGTCTATGACTGGAAGAAAGGATAGTAGAAGGAAAAAGAATATAAAATCAACAAAACTGTCGCATGATCAAATAAAGTATATTATAACGCGTGTAGAAAAACAGAAGCAAGAGAACACTGAGGATTTTTATTCGGTTATTTGGGAATCAGTTGAAAAGGAGCACCAATTCGATGGAGCTACACTAAAATATGTAGACTTTATGAAGTTGTCACCTTCCGGACGGAATTTAGTGGACGACTTATGTAATAAATTTTGCAAGCAATATGAAAACAACACGATGGAAAAGTCTACACATACAAGA